CCCAACCGGTCGAGGCAGAAGGCCACCCACCAAGAGCCGGGGTCTGTTGGAGGTTTCTTCCGTTAAAGGGAGTTTTTCCTCCCCACTGTCGCCAAGTGCTTGCTCAAGGGGGATTTGTTGGGTTTTCCCTATGTAATAATATTGATAACAGTAAGGTCTAGACCTTACTTTGTAAAGTGTCCTGAGATGACTTTTGTTGTGATTTGGCGCTATACAAATAAAATTTGATTTGATTTGATATATATCTAACGTTATTTAGGACTATTTATGTAACTATGTATATCTAGTGTTATTTAACTATATAACTAATTTATCTATTTTTTTCTAACTTACTATCTAGCTATCTATTGATCTATCTCTCTATCTACACTGATTCTCCACTAATTACACAATCTGCTACAACACTACTAACTCTCAAAGCAACTAACGCAACAACAGCAACAAACCAACCTGTTCTGCAAAGACAGATTCAAATGAATGCCACTAAATAGGGATATCCTACCTCTGAACACACTCGATCCAAAGTGATTCACATGACAAACCGAACCAATCAGCTGATTCATCTGATGTCCGACGAACCCAACTGCTTTGGGCGTCACTCAGGTGCTTCAAACGTCACTAGTCACATGACTGAAACACCCCTGGGCACAGTGGTTCGAAACAATTGCTTTATGAGCTACTGCACATGTTTTGGAGCCTCGGGTGTCATAGGGCCATCACTAGCCATGACTCTGTCTCCCTGCCTGTGAGTTCCTGACCCCTCAGCGATGCTGTTGCACTCTGGTTCTGCACTCCGTGCTGTGGACTAGTGATGTCCAAATGAAGCAATGAACCAGTATCGAACCACTTCATCAGTTGTATCGAACATCGGTTCATTCATTCAAAGGTTCGTTTCAGTCACATCTAGTGGCGAGACAGCAAAACAATGTCTGAATTATGTGACTGCTCCATGATGATGATCAAACAAAGGCAGCAATGATAATAATGACAGCAACTACACACAACTACTACGATGACAAACCCACATGTTGTGCATCATTTTGGTTGGCTATATAGTGCTTTTATGCGCCTACGAACCTGCTGACTGTTTGAACCAGTCATGGGATTAACTTGGGACCAAAGCAGTTTCTGCTTTGGACGTCATCAGTTGTATCTTTTTCGGCAACAAAGCAAGCATCAAAGCAGTGGTTTGCGAAAAATGCCTCTTTGAGTTTGAAGCTTGTATTGGAGCCTCGGTGTCAGACGGCCATCACTACTGTGCACCAGTGACGCTGCCACCTCTCAGCCTTAACCTCCTGCCAGTGAGCTGGCAAGTCTCCTGTCCTGGCATAGCCTGCTGTGTGTTCCTGTTCAGCCAGCAATACTGTTAATTCCTCACCTTACCTGTGAGTTTCTGAGCTTCCAGCTACACTGGCCATGTCTCCTGTCCCAGCCTACCCTGCTGTGTGTTCCTGTTCAGCCAGTGACACTACTAACCCACCTGCCTCTGTCAATTTACCTAGTCACAGTTGGTTTGTCCAGTCCCCGGTTACTTGCCTCTACAGCTCCTCCTGACACCTTAGATTTACCTGGTCTCTGGCTGCAACAACTGCACTCTATGGGCGCTACTCACCTGTGCCTCTCCTTGCCACAGCCAGGCCTTGGTCCTGCTTCATCTCCCTGCCGGCCTTGCCCCCATTTTGGGTCGTAACCCGTGTGGATCTTAACAAGTTATTAATCTTATAAGGCTGTTTAGACACATTTCACAATAAGTGCAACAT